AATGAAGACCCTCAGACACAGAGTTAGAGCTATATGCTCAGAAAAAGTAATTGAAGGTGAATTACGAATTCTATATGATACTTTGATCGAAAATAGATATCCCGACAAATTTATCAAGAAACACATGACAAATAAAGCGGAGGAGAAGGACTACTCACTATCTGTAAACAAGAAGCCACTTTATATACGACTACAATTCAAGGGCGATATACCAAGCGAAATAATTACGAAGAAATTAAGAAAATCAGTCCAAAGAGCTTCTAATGCTGGCGAACTACACGTTTTATTCTCTAGACGACCGATGGTGCTACCTTGACTGAAAGATGAAGTACCTAGACTAGCCAGCAACTTTAAATTGTATCTACCAATTCAACTGCGCTTGTGGAGCGAGTTACATTGGCCGTTGCTCTAGGAACTTGATTCTTCGTGCTCGAGAACATCTCCCTGTATGGCTAAGTAAAGGTGTAGTGAAAACCATCAACAGTTAGATAATAGACCATCTGGTGCAAACCGGCCACAAAGCCAGCATTGAAGAATCCTTCTGTATAATCTACCGAGCGCCTAATAAATTGCCAAAAACATCGAAGCACTGGATGCTCCGAACAGCAGAGGCTATTGGAATTCGCGTGAAACAACCAGTGCTCTGTGTTCAAAAGAAGCAAGTCCACCCAGCCACTACTACTGCTCTGGCCTTCAGTAGAGACTGGAAATTCATGGATGTGTAACATTATCTTTCCTAATTTTTCTGACATTTAGCTTATTGTTATGTTGATGCTATTGAACTGTAATCTATTAATATTATTATCGATTCGATGTTATTTAAACAGCATTAATGTTGTTCATAACACTAATTCGTTCATTCACTATAAGGTATATACAACTGTCGGGCCTAATGATGAAGTTATCGAAAAGAGTATTCTTTGTTCAGTATCCATTCCACAAGAATTTTGAATAGTAGAGCGATGGATTAAGTTACGAATGAGGGAAAATGAAATGTTCTTGTGAAACACAATATAGAAAGCATGATGAATAAGGAGGTTGGGGGTGGGCAAAGAGGTACAATACGAAGAATTTGTGTGCGCAAATGGTGATTTCAGCGTACGGCCACTGTGTGTTTTGTCGCTGCCAATGTATATTGTGTCATCTGTTAAATCAACAACCTTTCTGTTGACGAAAATTATCACATCCTGTCTCTAGGCTATAACAGCCAACATGACAAAAAAAGAGACCGAGAGCATTTCGATTTAACCGAAATCAATCAACCGTTGAACAAGCAGTGTCCTCCTCCGTCTGTGGTTCAAGTGGATAACGCTTCAGCGTTTGAAATGAGTCTCAATCGAAGATCACCTAGGATGTAGGCATATCCATGCGGCAGTGGAGTCCTCCACAGGAAGAAAAGTACATCCTAGATTCAACTCCTAACTACAATGAACTAAATGTCTTTGGAAACATTGAACGTAGATACAGTAAGCTGAAATATTACTGCATTGTCATTCATGTAAGTCACCACATCGCCCCATACATCTGTACTTCCAGTTGGAGATATATAATAAAATAGGAGACGATGAATTGAAAGTAGTCAACATTGAAGATGACAGATTGCTTGCTATGTTGTTGTTGTTTGTTTGTTGGTTCCTTTAAGTTCTGAGTGGAACATAGAGCTTCAAGCTAGAGAGAGAGAGAGCTATGAAGTTCCAATAGCAGTGGTTTTACTTTCACCGGCTGGGGCTGCTGTTAGCCTCACGCTAGCCCAACCTTGTCTCTTTACCTGGTTAACGACTACCGGTTGAGTGAGTTTTAGGAGTGCATCGGTTGGGGATTGAATCCCCGGACCACATGTGTACTTGGCAAGATCAGACTAACACAAACAAATCACATGTACTCACACACACACACACGAAACACTCAGATGACTTTGTAAATAAGTAAACCAATGGTTGGAAACAATTGGTGATATGGCTCAAAATCGTTCTCAATGGCTAACGGAGATGCATCCACTCCTAGTGACTTATGATTTCCAATGAAACTTTTGTTCTTCGTTATTAATATACCTTTGTCTCACACCTCTGTTTACTGTCTATATTATGCATTTCTTCTACTTTCTTCTCTTGCTTTGTGTGCTACATGGAGGGAGTGTGGCGACTTGAACTGCCGCACATCAGTGCAAAGTTCTATGTCGAAAACAGACAGACAGACAGACAAACAGGCAGAAAGCATGAATGCATGCACCGTCGCCAACACCCACAGGTATCCATCAATACAGACTGATACTTAATCATAACACACACAAACACACACACAATCTCTAAACCTCTCTCTCTATCTCTCCCTTTGTTTATTCACAATTGGTTACTCTAATCACATAAACCACCAATTAAGTAAGATTTCCAACCAGAGATAACACTGTTTTTTTTTACTGCTGAATGTCAACATCTACGTGACTTAATTTGAAAAGAAGTGCTTTTTTCTTGCTGGCAATTACAGTCTACCAACTGTGAAGTGAAAAAAATACATCATTACAAAACAACAACAACAACCTAACAACATATCTCTGAACAGACTATATAAACCGAAGCAAAAACATTTCCGTACATTGAATCTGTGACACGTATAATGACGACACTTTCTTTGGGTATGTTGCGTGTTGTATAATACTAAGGCGATAATCATCTGAAAACAAGTGTCAGATATCAGAGGTTCACTTGAATTGTGCTGACGTCTAATGACTAACAATTTCATTTCATACCGGTCGGTCGGTCGGTTTTCGACATAGAACTTTGCACATATGTGCGACAGTTCAAGTCGCCACACTTCACTCCTTGTAGCACACATAGCAAGAGAAGAAAGTAGGAGAAATGCATAATATAGACAGTAAACAGAAGTGTGAGACAAAGGAATAGGAATAACGAAGAACAAAACAGTTTCATTGGAAATCATAAGTCACAAGGAGTGGATGCATCTGCGCCGTCATTGAGGACGATTTTAAGCCATATCACCAATTGTCTCCAGCCTTCATTGGTTTTTACCGTTCCGAGGACCCCAACCAGAAAGTCTACACCTTCCTACGTGGCTTAAACTAACTGTTGTGGATTTCATTGACTGGTGTCATGTTTTGGTATGACTGCCGCTAGCTCTTTTCCGGCCTGGCCCTATATCAGCTAACATTGCCTGTCGAGGAAGGCGATGACTAGGAATGCAAACGTAACACATGTCCTAACCATCTCAGTCGATGTAATTTCACAGTTTCGTCAAGTGATTTCCCCGCCTTACCTAGCACTCGACCGACGCCTAACCTCAATATTGCTCACCTTATTATACCACTTCACACGGGAGATAGAACGCACACACTTATGATCGAACACAGCTAATCTTTTCATGTCTTCTGCTCTCAATGACCAGGTCTCACAGCCATAAAGGAGGACGGAGCGGACTGTTGAGCAGTACACACGCCCTTTGGTCGATAGCCAGCCGGATATCATGTCTACGCCAGAGACGGCGTAAATTGGCATATGCGAAAATAGCCCTCTGTATACGTGCTGAGATTTCGTCTGAGATCAACCCGTTGGGGCTGGTGGTACTTCCCAAGTAAGTGAAGCGGTCAACGTGCTCTATCACTTCACTTCCTATTTCTAATCTAGGGGTCGGTGAAGTCCAATCCTGCAGCATCATCGTACATTTTACAGGGGCGAATCGCATGCCTCATTTCATGGTCATTTCATACCACACAGTGCCGAAATTCTACCCTTACATAAATTATGCTACCGATTTCAATAACATACCGAATCACACAATGGTGGATGGGAAGAAACGAGTTTAAAAGAACTGCAATGGACAGAGATGTACAGAGAAGGAAAAGTAGCATGGACGTACATGACGACTTAACGCGTCCGGGAGATTACAAGGAGTGAATGTTTATCTGCGCCACCGAGAACGATTTTGAGCCATATCCCCAATAATCTCCAGTGATTTATATTTAGTGTCATAACAACCCCAGGCCAGCAGTCTACTGTCAGAGATTCCACGGATTGATGACAAATTTTGAATCGACCAGTCTTAACTCTTGCAATCTAATCCTATGTCAGCGCTAGTATTGGTCGACGAGAGGGCTGCTGCCTTGGCATACGTAACACTTGTCTTAGCCATCTCGACAGACGTAGCTCGACAGACAACCTCATCGATTGAATTTTCATCATTACCTAACACTCTACGCCCTGGATCCAATATCATTCATCATACTAGACCACTTCACACGAGAGAAAGATGTAAAGCCAGCTAGCTAGCCTCTTCAGGTCCTCTACTTTTGATAGATATTTCTTACAGCCATACTGTTTCACAGTACACACGTCATTTGATCATCCATAGCTAGATGTTGTTATCACTAGGCAAAAAGCATTACATCTAGATTAGTTTTTCACACATCTTATTTCCGATGGAAATATCTATCAGTTGGCCGAAAATTCTTTCTGTTAATTTTCCGCTCTCAAAAGAACTATGGCTCATTAGTCTAGGGGCTTGACTTTCAACCCCGTGTCCCAACTACCAAGGTCTGCAATGCGTGGTAGTATCTTAAGTTCTCAGATAATACGCGTGGCGTATTGTTGACTGTATATAAATGCAACTGGTTCTTGAATAACATCACTTTCTACTTCCATCACTCTCAGAATTCTGTCCAAATCTTGGCGTAGGTGGAGAGCGGGACTCGAATTCGCATTCCCCAGAAGCAATGGGAGGAATTGTGAATTTCGCAAACAAATAAACTATCCCTTGAACAACGGGGGTTGACTGTAGTTATTATCAATTACATAATAGATACCAAACTGATGATTAAGGGCAAACGACTAGTGTGGTCAACTTTCACGAAAACGGGGGGTGGGGGTGAGTAAATCCAACTGATGATTTTTCATTGTATAAGAGATAAACAACGATAAAGAAAGAAAGAGAGAAAGAAGGAAAAAAAGCAGATAGAGAAAAGAAACAATTATCCAGAATATTTGACTTACTTGATGTTTCGATTGTAGTTGAACAATTGTTTGTAAAATCTGTGATTCACGTTGTTGAAGTAATTGTAGAGATAATTCAAGATTTTCTGCAGGTTGACTATGCATTGGCAAGGTGGACTTCGATAACTAAACACACACACACACACACACACACACAAAGAGAACAAAATATACACATGGAGAAAATGAGAGAGAGAGAGAGTACTTAAAAAGGTTCATATAGGTTAATCTATATACATCAATGTATGTACTTATGAATTATTAAGAGAGTCATCAGTCATTAGACAGTGTAGTATGACATAACGAGGAGTGTGAAGGTTGATACTACAAAACAACATACCCTTGAGATAAACTTCAAGAGTGATCATCAACTTCAGTCAGGGAATTCCATTATCAGAGTAAAATTTATTTTGATGAAGTCTCACAGTGTTTGTTGTACAGTAATATTTACTGATGACCGTGTTTCCAGCACAATTTATTGCTACTCATGATCATATCAAGGCATTACTCATACAACTTTCTAACTTGGTTTATATAATTCCATTATTTTCCATCGCTTGATTTGATTGGTAGTAGTAGAGTTTATAGAAAACCAAGAACCTATTGCTCAACAAATACGAAGAAACTGAAGATGGACTGAGCACACACTGAGGAGACCATCGAATGACATCACGCTCCAGGTGGTCGGTCGAGTGGAACCCAAATGGGGAACAATAAGTTGTGTGCCGATGCTAAGGTGACATGGAGGAGATCATGAGAGGAGGAAATGAGACATGATGGGCAATCGTGGGCCTAGCTAAAGAGAACAACAGAAAATACGACTAAGTGGAGACGTGTTTTTGAAGTTCAGTATTCCATTCGGAACCCAAGGCAGCAATAATAATAATAATGATGCCTTCTACACTGTATGGGAGTTAGGACAATCCTGTATCACTCAGTTTCTACTTTTCACGGATTGTTAATTCTCACATTCTTGTATTTTTTCCAGTAGAAAGCAACCGACATAAGATAAAAAGAAACAGAATGTTGAAAAGTAAGTAAAAGCTTACATCGTTTCCCCGCATAGCCATCATTAGTCGATTCGTTGGGGTTGAATTTTGTCCAAGACATGATAAACTGCCGTCATCTGGATTCAGTGATGTTAACAGACTAGCTGTAATCGGTTTCAATGAATTAATCAGTTCATCAATACCAGGATGACCTGATCGATCACGTAGATCAACTAGAATCAAAATAAAGAAATAATCACAGAGTGTGTTCATTATTACGTGTATCATAGAATCAACATGGGAAAGGAAAAAAATGAAATCGCATTAAGATTTGAATGAAAGTATGAGTTCTAGGAGTTTCAGCTACACCATCACTATATCACTGAAGATGCAGGCACGTCCAACGGGCGAACACCATCTAGGACAAGGTGTCAGTTGACAGCCATTATTGACCACATAATCTTCAAGATCATGATGAATGATACTTTTCTTTAATTTAATGTCGTCTTGATCAAAAATCGTTGCCATTGGAGTGTGAGAAGAGAGAGAGAGATAATGACGGAGAACAAACAAAAGTGTACCGTGAATTGGAAGTAATTTAATTTTATGGATGATAATATGTCGATTCATCCACTACATGGCAAATAACAAAGCTACTCTCTCCTGACTGACTAAGTGAGTGATTTCAACATAGAACTTTGCACAGATGTGCAGCAGTTCAACTTACCACACTCCCTCCATGTAGCACACAAAGCAAGAGAAGAGAGTAAAAAGAGGTTCGAAAGAGAGATAATAAAAACAGAGATATGAGGCAAAAAGGATAGTAATATAGAAAGACAATGCAACTTTATTAGATCTTATAAATTGTAAAGAGTGAATGTATTTGCACCAACCATTGAGAACGACCATCGCAGACCACCGCTCGAGTAGAACCCGAATAGGAAATTTCGAGTGAGTCTTCGGTTGAGTAGTTCGTGTGACGAGGAGAACACGATTATAGTCAATCGTGGACCCAGCTGAAGAGGACAGCAGAGAACAGGACAAAGTGGAGATGTGCTGTTGAAGCCCTATGTTCCACGCAGAACCCACGTGAATCATAATAGTAAAGTGTTATGCATTTGAAATTAGTTGGACAGAATACATTTATCATGTACTAATGAATAAGCTTGATGATGCTATACCACCCAGTGGTTCAGACGGCGCAAGACTGGAACCCCGGATCCACTGTATAAAAGCTAAATGTATTAAGGCCAACAACCAAGACGTCCACATATACTGCAACAAAAATATAGGACAATGAAAGGACTCATTCAGCATACACTGATAATTCCAAAATATGTGTGACACAAAAGGAAAGAGGGTAACATTGTAAAGTGCCCCTACTATAAACGATGTGTTACGTACACGATTGAGGATGGATAAACTTGTATCGTCCTCTCGAAATATCCCCCATGTGACCACGTGTACATAACCTCTGCCTTCACGCAGCGAGGGTGTTTCTTACAAAACTGAAAGAGCGAACACGAACGACTACCGCTTACAGCCAGACATTTAGGTCTATGTAGAGGAAGCTAGAAAACCTTGATTCCAAATCCATGAAGTATTAGATGGTTGGAGGCAATCGGCAGGAAGCCTTCGACCTAGGTTTCGTGCTAGTTGGCACTCATCAGCAAGGCGTATCTGCAACCTTGAAGGAACTGATGTCCCTTCTGAGATTCGAACCCGCGTCACCCAGCGCTGCAGTCAGAGACGTTACCACTGAGCCTGAATAGCTCAGTGGTAACGTCTCTGACTACAGCGCTGGGTGACGCGGGTTCGAATCTCAGAAGGGACATCAGTTCCTTCAAGGTTGCAGATACGCCTTGCTGATGAGTGCCAACTAGCACGAAACCTAGGTCCAAGGCTTCCTGCCGATTGCCTCCAACCATCTAATACCAACAATTCACAGTGCACCGTAATGGCGAGCCACCTAGCATGGTGGCCACATTGCAAACATGACTGATAGAATTCAGTCTGCACCAAAGATAGGACTAGACACATTACACTAGTTACTGACTAGTGTGCAATCAAAAAATCCATGAAGTACATGTGCTTCAAAATCCGAGCGGATCGGATGGCGAATGAACCAGTTTAGGTGACCGAAAACCATGGAGACACACACACAGTACCTGATGCCGCTTTACTTCACTAAGGATTGCACTTCGAGTCAATGCTCTCGAGGTGGCATTCCCTACGACAACAACCTGTCTCCGTCTGGGCGTCCCAGTGCTCGCAAGCACTATGAGATTTTGTGTGATGCCCCCAATGTGTACATAGGTTGTGTTTCAGTAAAAATAATCTTTGTAAAGTAATTGTAGGGGATTTCTTATACATGTGTCTAAGAAAGATGCTTTAATAATGAAGGGATATGCATCTTCATAAAAATTCATATAACCGGTTGAATTATTTAAAAAAAAAACATAGACAACTGACTCACTTAAAGCTCTTTCCACACTGGTGTTTGTATCAGCGAATATCGGTTGAATTTCATCCTCTGAAAAACCAAGACTAAACAGCTGACGCATTACATGAGCACGAATTACACTCTGCTGTTGTAATTGCTGTGAATGTTGTTGAGGACTCATAAACATACGTTGAGACATTGAGGAAGAGGTAAAACCGGGAGTCATGGCTGGATAAAAGGCACTCTGTGGAGTTCTAAACGCTTGATTTACACCACGACTAGAAGCTGCTGCCAATGATGTAGGAAATTCTGGCACACTGATCTGTTGAGAAGCACGAGGTGGTAGGCTTTGATTAGGTTGATTGAAATAACCACTAGGATTATTATCCATTCCTGAAGTACTAGCTGATGACCATTGTGGTCCTTGAACTGTACCTGGACGTCTTTGATCTGTTGTTAATGGCCATACACCTTGCATTTGTGGAGTTGTTCCACCAGGAGGCCATCGTAAGCCAGTCGAAGTCATGTTAGGCAAGATATGCGTGGGTGGATGTTGCTGCTGCTGTTGTTGTTGTTGTTTACCACCAACAGGTAGACGATTCATATTTGGACCAGGCCACCGAGACTTATTACCGAAATTAATACCTGGGACAGCAGGATCACCTGTAAACAAAGAAAGAAACAAATAATGAAATATTTTTCAAGTATTGGTTGTGTAGGGATTTTGTTTGGTTGGTTGAAGGATTTCATCATGAGCTGACATCAGTTGTAACCAGAAGGTTCTCGGTTCGAACTGTGGCGGTGGATGCATGGCGCTGAAGAGCCCAAACAAGGACGAAACAGTTGCCCACTACTCCCTGCTGGTTTTCTAGTGGTTCTCGAACTGATGTCAGCTCATGATAAAGTCCTCCGACTAAATAATGAAATAATAGAAAAGATTTGTAGCTATGGTGGATAATTTTGAAGTGGCTAAGAAGCTTTCACTGTCACTGTAGGTAGCATCTTCAGCGAAAGAGCAATTTCACCAAAAAATTTCTAAACATGAATCAACCTACCTGATAGAATGATTTCAACATAGAACTTCGTACAGAAGTGTAGCGGATCGAGCTGCCACTCTCTATTCATGTATCACACAAACCAGTAAAAGACAGCAAAGACAGATTCAGAAGAGAGAGATAATAAACAGAAGTGTGAGTGAGGGAAAAAGAATGGGAAAAAGAACAATGGAAGAACAATAGAATTTTACTGGATATGACAAATACACCACAAACAAATGAAATCCTCCAACCAATCAAACAAAATCCCTACAAAAACCAATACTTGAAAATTAATATGATGCTCATTAGCAAATGGCTCTATTCAGGCAGTGACCTGGGGTCCTAGTGGGCAGCCGTGACCAGTAGGGTGCAGCAGATTGAAGGTGAGGCAGTAACTCATTGAAGAAGACATCGCGAAGTGGTCGCACCATGTCACGAATCGGCAGAAGTTAGAATTCATGGGTTGGCAATTGGTAGGGTGCCAGTGGCTCAATGGTCTACGAGCTCGCTTGCCTTGTAACCAGAAGGTCCTGTATTCGAACCCCCTCTGGTGCGTTCAAACTGCTGAAGAGTCCCAAACTAAGACGAAACAGCTGTCCAGTACTCCCACGTTCTCCAGTGGTTCTCTAACTGTTGTCAGCTCATGATGAAATCCTACGGCCAATCAAAAAAAATCCCTACAAAAATCAATACTTGAAAATCACAGAGTGAATGCATCTACGCCAGTCACTAGGAACGATTTTGAGTCATATCGTCAATTGTCTCCAACCGTTATTACCGTTATTACCATCTAGAGGACCCCAAACAACCAGTAAGGTTGTCTACACCTTCCCACGTGGCTGGTTGGCTGGCCTAAACCAACTGTTATGGATTTCCTTGACTAGTGAAGTCATGTTTTCGTTTGACCACCACTAACTAGTTCTTTTCCAACTACCGAGTAGAAACCATCCACACAAACCACAAGAAAATTCATCCTACCATTTATAATGTTTCTGAAATAACAGCTAGAATACCAAGAGCATTTGGAATAGATACAGAGCACAAACTAACACAATCATTTCATTTAGTACTACGCAGATTAAAATACCCAACAACGAAAGAAGACTAATAAATTTCACGAACTGTGTGATAACCATTAAACTGATCAAAATGGGAGTGGTGGCCCCTTCGACTTTGAGTCCAAGAACCATTATTAAAGAATAAGCTACATGACAATAAAAGTTAAATTCCAAGTCTATAAAAATAATCAATACTGATGCACAAATAACAACTAATCACTACAAAAGTCATCAAGAGAGACATTTATATCATCATTTATGGAAAATTCAGATAAGTCCAATCCACACTTAAAGCTTAAGCGTTGAAGATGTCGTCCAGAATGACAACGAAAACGGCTTAGCAATTAGACCACCGCCACCAGGCAGCTCAAAGAACACAGAGCCACATCAAAAACAAATCAATTCTTGTGTTTTAAGAATGAAAACCTCATTTAGTAGAACACAGAAGATGAAAGAAAAAACAACCTATCGATCGTATGAAATGAACTGATCATCTCATTGAAATTGAAATAAGCAAACCTTTACTGGCTTTATGGCTAATCCACTTTCAGAAGCTTATCAATAGCCCATTGTAGTTTTTAAGAATTAGATGATAAAGACAGTCGTAGGAATGTTCATTTCTCCTTCATTTAAATCTTCCTGCAATCCCTCTTCTCCATCACACCCCACACCACACCACCTCCGATAAACGAAATGGCACGGCTGAGGGTAGGTAGACTTCAGTCTTTTACTAGAAAAGTTTCCATGTGACTACGTATTCATAGTCTCTGCCACGTAAGTCTCCGTAAAAATGGAAGGGCAAATGAAAACGTCTAGCGCTAACTAATGGACTGGTTGACATTTTTTTTATTCCTTTATGTTCCCAGGGGAGCGTAGGGCTTCAAACCTCTTGCTTGAAGTTTCGGTAGCAGTAGTGGTTGCTAACCTCATGCCCAACCTTCCCACTCCATCAGTCTTATTACTGGCTTAGTGAGGTAAAGGAGTGCGCCGGCCGGGGATCGAACCCCGGACCACCTTCATGGCTGGTGAGCATTCTACCGCTGTGCCACCGACGCACTGGTGGACATACTGGTTTATTTACCTAGGGAATCTGGAAAATCCTGATTCCAAATATGAGCTATAGAATCCAAAAGCACCAAATGGCTTATGACTCTGCTTTGGTTGTCAGAAACCATAGGAACATAGCAGCTCCTGACACTGCTCTATAGGCTTTGCGGATTCACAATTGAAGCCAAAGACTCGGAGGCTAATCCTTCTAGACAACAAACCAGCTTCGCTCTGGGCGTCCTGGTAGTATCCTAATGTATGCACAAACTATGAGACTATGTACGGCGTTCAGTGCACCAAGTTTGTGTTCTAGTAGAAATAATAATAATCTCGCAACACCGAATAAGTCGCATCTACCCGATAAACGACTATTTTAGCTGCTATCTTTCTACTGTGGTTAGCTTCCCTAACACCTATTATCCGCATAACAAACGACTAACTGGCAGTCAGTACACAAACACACAGACACACACAGAGACAGACACACGAAGAGAGGACAAAAACAATTCAAAGTTGTTACGATACATAACTATAACTGAGGAAAATAACCCTTTTTCATTTTGATTTGTATCAAATGGATTATCATGTGATAATAAAGCGAAAACAAGGTGAACCCACACATACACCTACATAACAATAACAAAACGAATTTATCCTTCAGTATAGCTTGTTCCGTTTCTTTTTTGCTTTGCTTTGTCTTCTTACTAGTTCCTTTCCAATCAACTATATCAACTGTTCATCATCCTTTTGTTATATTATTATTATTGGCGATGTGAATCGGTACAATATAAATGTGTATTCTATTCTATTCTTCGTTTGCAGGGAGTTGATTGGCTACAGGATTTCATTATCAGCTGACATCGGTTAGAGAACCACTGGAAAACCTAGGAGTACTGAAGAGTTGTTTCGACTCTTTAGCAATATGCACCCCCCTTTCGGGGTTCGAACCCAGGACCTTCTGGTTACCAGGCGAGCTCATAGATCATTAGGCCACTAGGACCCAATCCGACGGTCCAGCTGTCCAGTACTCCTAGGTTTTCTAATGGTTCTCTAACCGACGTCAGCTGGTGATGAAATCCTGTAACAAATATGTATGTTGATAGAATTACTCAGAAGTCGTTTCCAGAGCTTAATATAAAAATACGTAGTATGATTTCAAAGGTGATGATAAGGTGAAAATTGTTAAGAGATGAAAAAGAAGAAAGTAGAAGAAATGCATGATAGAGACAGTAAACAGAGATACGAGACAAAAAGAATAGTTATATCGAAGAACAACATAGTTTCATTGGGTATTATAAGTCATAAGGAGTGGATGCATCTGCAACAGCCATCGAGAACGAGTTTGAGCCATTGTCTCATTGGTTCTCACCATTCCGAGGACCCCAACCGGTCTCATAGTCTACACCTCCCTACGCGGCTGGCTTAAACTAACTGTCATGGATTTCATTGACTGATGAGGCCATGTTTTGGTTTGACTACCACTGGCTCTTTTCCAACCTATTCAAATGTCAGCTAGCATTGCCCATAGAGGAATACGATGGCTAGGCATACGTAACACATTTCCTAACCATCTCAGTCGATGTAGCTTTACAGCCTCGTCGACTGATGAAAGAGAGGCTAAGCAATTGAGTGTGTCTGCCTACTTGACAAGTGTGAAGATGGTGAGCACAGACAACTTAATGAAATGTACAAAAGGAACATACAATTGTGGATGTAATTGTGAATTAATGACTCAATCGATAATGAACTGGAGAGACTTAAACAAGTCCCCATTGAAAATGGAATTCCACAAAATTGATCAAGAGAGAGAAAAAATACATGAAAGTAAAGCAGAACCCTGGAAGAATGTAAGCGGTGTTGTAGACAGTGGTGTTTGTGATTTTTTTATATAAAGGGTAATCTTAATTGTGACAGACAGAGAGACACCATGACAACCCATCAATCAATATGATCTACTCCTGTCTGTCATGATTGTCATGTGATAATTGTTTGGCTTAATGCAAACTTCCACCGCCAGGGGTTGGCTTTGCATGACTGCTGTATTCTATCCTCCTATATGTATATAAATGTGATTCATTATTTATTTTGTTCTACACATCGATACTGTTCGGTATGTCTTTGTCCTTCTTTGAATGACAGTTCTTTTTGTATTGTTATTTTTGTGAACTGTATCATTTCTTTTACACGTTTCAGAAACAAATAAAGTTTATGTTAAGGCACCTGTTTTTTAACAATATCAGTACTGATAGTGGGAACTAATATGTATAGGTGAATTTAATCATACAGGTGATACCGCAACCAAGCTCCTGAAGAAGCACTTCTCCAGATCACTAAGTTATGGATCAATTTCTACAATCAGTGAATGAACAATAGCTGTGTAATCACTTCACAATGTGCGTTTATAGGAATTCACTTGCTCCAATGGAGGTAGTTATTTTGGTCTAGCGTCTCGTGAAGTCGAGTCGTGCCGCTCCACTAGAGCTTTTTTTATTCCTTCCTTCCCAGGGGAACATAGGGTTTCAAGCTAGAGACTTGAAGTCTCTGTAGCAGTGTTTATTTTTACAGGATGGGGTTGCAAGCCTCATGCCCAACCTTTCCTCTTTACCAGCTTTATTTCTGGCTTGGCGAGGTAAAGGGGTGCGTCGGTCGGGGATCGAACCCCGGACCATGTGCATGGTCGACGAGCGTCTTAACCAATGTACCACCGACACACGCTCCACTAGAGTAGTCCCTTAAAATTATATAAAAGGTAAGACCGAATAATATAAGGGATGTTAGCCTTCCGTACTAGTGTATGACAGGAGCGCTAAAGATTCGTCAACATAACTCTGAGCTCTGTGTGCAGGAAAGGTTTGTTCAGTTTCTTATTCTATTATAGTCTTAAGCTCTTCCCGAATTGTTCGCTACTACTTTCAGTACTGGAAACCACTTCTGAGTGTAACTGTGTCGTTTAATTCAGCCCTACATTATTCAATAATGGACTACCACAGGTTTTTGGTGAATATAAATACGACATATATGTACGTCACTTCAACTGAGGCACTTCTAAACATCTTCAGAAGGTGATGTAGGAGACGGGAACGGTGGGTTAGGTAATCAACAATAATGAAAATGATGAACGAACACAAAACAGAACTCAATTCGAAGTTAGCTTGACGGAACATATCTTTTATGGAGCAGGCTATTGTGGTGGTGTGATACGGACAATAGGCTCCAAAGGAATAATATTCTCACAGTAAGAGTAATTGTATTTGTTGGTGTTAACGTCTGAATACTATTCCCACAGTTCAATACTGCGTTAGCAACAGAATAATATATATGTATTTGGACAATCTGTTTCATGTCGTTTAATCTACGCCAAAATCACACGCTCAGTGATTGGTTAAAGAATATAAACTGTATAGATATAAATAACTGTTCGATCACTTGAAAATATACGTTGGCTTCCGTGTCTTGCCTTCTGCTGTTACACTATGAGTAGCGCTTATTGTGTATGGGAACTGATAACACTACCCCGTTGCTTTTAAGGCTGAAGTAGGTGGTGCAGCACGATCCGAACCTGAAAATCTAATAGCCGTGGAAATCGAGTACTTAACGCCAATGGGCTAGGAAATACAAAAGGAAATGGGAGTGCTGTTCATGTTTTTCGGATGTTATAACACTGTAAGACGAGTCACGAAGAATATTTCAAACGGGTTGCAAACATTCATCAACAACTGCCTGCCTCCACTCCATACTGAAGATCAGATGGCGAGAAAAGATTAGCAACAAAGAACTATGAGAACACATGCAGAACGAAATGAAAATGGATTGGACGGAGGCTGAGGAGACCGTTGAGTGAGACAACACTCACCAGACATACTATCAAGTGAGACCCGAATGGCTACTACAGTCTAGTCTTTAAAGTTATCAATCGTATGTACACAATTTCAATTAAATAAATACGGATTAACATACCTGGATGAGTTGCAGGAGAATAAGGCCAAGAAACTCCAGGTCCAAGATTCACCGGAGCAGCTATTGGAAAGCCTCTAGACGGACCAGTATTTCCACCAACATTACTATTTATCTGTCCAAGTGAATGATTCCCACCAAACAATGATCTTGTCCCCAGATTCATGACATTAGGCGTTGGAGGTGGTGGTTGTCCTAAAGGAAATATAGTCCCTGGGACGACTGGACCACGATTTATGCCACGAAAACTTTCCGTGTTTGATGGAATTTGGCCTTGTTGTGGCCGAGATCGATGAGAAGGATGTTGTGACATTTGACTGGAAACAAAGTTAGCTGGATTTAGAGAATGTGATGCAAATGAAGCCTGAGATGTTAGTGGTGGTGGTTGTAGTGGTGTTGTTGTTGGTGGTTGTCCAGAGTTGGTGCTTTGATGCCAACGTGCAGTTCTTTCTCCAAGACTTTCATAATGCGATTCCCAAATCCCTGTACCATTCGGTGGTTCACTTGGCCAGATATTTGACTCCAAATCTCTGCTTACTACTGCTGATGATGAATTAGCTGAACTAAGACGTCTGGAATGTAAAGATGACTGAGTAGCAATAGTAGCAGCGGTAGCAGTTGTAGTGATACTACCGGAAGGTTGAATATTTGATACTCCCCCACCTGACGACTGGTTTAAACCAGTAACTCGTGATGCGCTAGTAGACAAGTCATTATTGCCAGGTGTTCCTGTAATCGATGCAGAGGAATGCGTTGGTAAGCAATCACCATTTGCTTCAGAACAATTCCATGGTGTGCTTTGGTCAACTGGATGAATTCCCCATGGTTCTGTTGTATTGACGGCTGTACGAATAGCCTCTTCAGTATCACAAGTTGATGTGTCAATATCAGAGTTGGATTTTTTTGAAATATTACTCTGTCCTACATCAAATTCTGATATTTTATTACTACTATTTCGAATATTGGCATTCATAGGTGAAGAGAATGATGATTGATTTTCAATAAAATCAGATTGATTGCCGAACCCACCAATAGAGTTGTTATTATTATTACTATTGATATTTATATTGGATAATGGGAAAGCTAATCCAGATCGATCATCTAAACAAAAGTGAACAAAAAGAAGTAAAGCAGAATATACAAACATACTTGAGTGAAAATTATTTATGTATTAGTGGTCAATAGTACATTTTAAGGGACTTATCAAATGAATTAAACTGTGCATTAAGGTTAAACGTTTTGAGCTTGCCTAGGCCTAATGGCTCTCAGCTGGGCTGTCTTGCTGACTACTCATAAATCCTACAGTAAACATAACAAAAGCCATATAAACAATACGAGGGCGAGTTACAACATTCGCGCAGCTCGCTTATATGACTGTGGATGGTTTTCGATAGTGGCTGGCTGGATTCAACATAGAACTTGGCACCGAAGTGCAGCAGTTCGAGTTGCCACGTTCCAAAGAGCACACAAAGGTAGACAAGAAAATGAGTCAAGAGAATCAATAGAGTTTCGGTTTTCGATAGTGTTGGTAGACGTATAAAAGCTATTCGTATAATAAATTAATTGGCAGGGATAACGATTTCATTGAATTTGATGGCTGCTGGTTTCGTTTATAGGGGCCGATGGTTACTATAGCGTTGCTAAGCGTGCTACTCTTGCCTGTAATAAATTTATTTATTTATTTATTTAAACGCATTAAAACTTGGTACAATATGGCACCAAGAAGGATGCGCCACACAATAATAATAAAACAACATAGATGAAAAAAAGGAAGGAAGGCAGGAAAAGAAAAAATAAGAGAGAACGAATAAAGAACTTCATCTGGAAGGAAAACACTCATTCTTAACAGGTTCAAACAGTGTTCGTTAACTATCATCGGGAATGGAAGAAAGAAGGAAATCGCAACACATTCGCCATTGATTACGATTCTTGGCCATATCCGGTAACGTTTCGAGCCATCGATTTGAGCTATCTCTCAGACCCCAACCAGGGAGTCGTGACACACCAACCGATGCTAATCTAGCACAGAAATCCTTCATCCCACGACGCCACGTCATGGGCTGACCACCTCTCCGCCTTTTCCATTCCGTCCCAAGGCTAGCGAACAGAGACCTGGACGGAAGCCTCCGGGATGACATTCGCGGCACATGTCCAAGCCACCGGAGCCGGTGTTTCCAGATGACGACACTTAATGAATGTTGACCTCCACTGTGCTCGAACACGCCGCCGAACCTCAGAATTACTCACGCGATGATGCCATCGAACGCAAGCAATCCTGCGGAGACAGCGGTGATCGAACACGCAGAGTCGCCTCACATCCTCAGCTCGGAGAGGCCAGGTTTCACAGGCGTAGAGCAGCGCAACCCGCACCGAAGCATTGTATACCCGACCTTTGACAGCCAGGCTAACGTCGTGACGGCGCCAGAGGTGGCTCAAGTTGATGTATGCCACCCTAGCCTTCATTATACGGTTAGAAATCTCATCCGTCACCCCTCCGCCAGCACTCACACAACTACCTAGGTACACAAACTTATCGACAACTTCAAGCGGTTCACCCGCAAGAGTGAGTGCAGGTACAGGCTCCTGCCAATCTTGTAACAGTACTTTGCACTTAGATGGCACAAAACACATACCATACTTACAGACATTGATCGGCAACTGATAAAGTGCGATTTGGGTAGTCTGAATGCTATTGCACAGTAAGACGGTATCGTCTGCATACTCGAGGTCGAAAAGTCTATCTCCAGGTAGCAGATCTACACCACCTTCACACACATCCTTCAGAGCTGACTCCAGAATATCATTGATGGCAAAGATAGGGAGAAATGGGGAGATTGGGCAACCCTGTCTAACCCCATTGTTGGTTGGGAACGGTGATGATAGTCAGTTGTATGCCCTCACTCTCTACCTGAGGTGTTTCTGTATAGGGCTTTCAAGATGTTTACAAACTTCTCAGTTACACCTCTCTCTAACAGACAGTTCCAGAGTACAGTTCTGTCCAGCGAATCGAAGGCAGCCCTAATATCAAGAAACACAACGATCGTTGGCCTGAAATACGTGTGGCGGTGTTCCAACAACTGACGAAGGGTGAACACATGATCAATGCATCCACGACCTGAACGAAACCCAGCCTGCTCTTCGCGAATCAATCCTTCACGTATTTTGCACAGTCTGCGAAGCGTGACAGCAGCCAATATTTTAGACGCAACTGGTAACAGACTGATACCCCTATGGTTGTCACACGAATTACGTCGACCCTTTTTAAAGATGGGAACGATAATGGCTTCGTTCCACATTGATGGTACGCTCTCTGTCTCCCACGCCTGTAATAAAGCCTTTGGCTGGTCATGTATGTAAGATGAGTTCTATTGGGCTTTTCTATGTGGTGCATAATTGATTGATGCGATCATTGATCAGCGTAACTACGCTTACCTATGCATTAAGACTAAACGTGGTTAGACAGTAACAAACTGAAGATCAGGTGCCCTAAATGAGATTACATGAACAAATGGATTTCCAAGCAGTTAAGAATCAATCACGCGTATTGTGTGAAGGCTGGCTCTCTTTGATCATAGGGACCTCCGTTCTCCCGTGCTGAGTGGTATAATAGGGTGAGAAATATTGACGTTAGGCATCGGTCGAGTCCTAGGTAAGCAGGGAAAGACAGTCAGTCTACGAGGTTCTGAAGCTACATCGATTGAGATCGCTGGGACATGTACTACGCATGACTAGTCGTCACCTTCCTCGACAGGAGGCAATGTTAGCTGACTGACTGACATAGGATGGATCAAGTTGGAAAAGAGAAAGATAGTGGTGGTTAAACCAAGACATAGCTTCGTCAGTCAATGAAATTTATAACAGTTAGTTTAAGCCAGCCACGTAGAGAGGTGTAGACTACGCGACTGGTTGGTGTCCTCGGCATGCTAGGAACCAATTGATGATATGGCTCAAAATTGTTCCCAATGGTTGGCGTAGATGATTTCACTCTTTGTGATTAATTTGTCATATCCAATAAAACTCTATTGTTCTTCCATTGTTCTTTTTTCCATTCTTTTTCCTTCATTTGCACTTCAGTTTATTATGTCCTTTTACTCTCTTCTCTTGCTTTGTGTGCTCATGGACAGTGACATTTCGAACCGGCACACATCTGTGCGAAGTTCAATGTTGAAACCAATCAGTCAGCCGAGACCTCAGTAGTTGTAGCGGTGTTCGATCCTGTGATTCCAAGCTCTTAGACCGATGAACCACAGCTTCATTCATAAGTTTTGAGTAGACGATAAAATATCTCATATAGATGATTACATTGACATAGGTGCTCGTCAACTAACTCAGTAAAACATACTTGGTTGCCAGTCTATGAGTAACAAAGAAGTACCACCAACCTTTGTCTTTAACATTATTATTATTGTTTCCTTTAGTTCCTAGAGGAACATAGGGCTTCAGCCACACGTCTCCATTCAGTTCGGTTCTCCGCCAACGTTTTCAGCTGGTTCCACGTCTACCCACATGCTTTCATCTCCTTTTCACATGACCTCCTCCATGTCAACCTCGCCATGACGACCAACCTGCCGCTTCCCATTCGGGTTCCATTCGAGGGGCCTGTCTTGTAATGTCACTTGATGGTTTCCTCAGAGTATGGCCAATCCACCTCCATTTCTTCTTGCGGATTTGTTTCACAATTGGTTGGTTTGCTCATTGCCAGAGATCCCTGTCGCTGATCTTTTCTGGCTGCCCATCTGATCTTCAGTTTTGAGCGAAGACAGCTGTTGATGAAGGTCTGTAGTTTGTCCGAAGTGCTCTTCATGACGTGTCAAGTCTCTGATCCATAAAGTCGCACTGACTTCACATTGGAGTTGAAAATCCGGATCTTATTTTCGTTTTCATGCTGAGGAGTGCTGCTGACCTCCACACAGACTTGCGAGAAATGAAAGCTTGCCTTGACTTCCCGATCCTTGCTTTGATATCCTCGTCAGTTCCGTCCGCCTGAAGTTGAAACGATGCTTCCCAGGTAGGTAGATAAGTAGGTAGGTAATGGAGGTTGCTTCTTTCAGATTTCTGCCATTTATGCTGATTGTTGTTGCTGTTGCTGTTGACCAGGAATCTTCATCATCTCTGTTTTTTTCTATGTTCACCTGAAGTCCTGTCTTTAACATGGCAATCATAAACAGTTGTCTCAGTAATTATTTTCCGATTACGTTTCTTATTATCACGTTTTTGATCCCTATTTGTAATCTCGTTATTTGTCACAATCCAACTGTCGACCGGAAGTAGTTCTGGAACTTTCTCATTCCTTCACAGTACATGCACGAATTTACAGGCTAGTTAAATGACCTCGTCGAAAAGAAAACCTCCCTTGCTGCAACCGTCTTTTTTTGTATATTCTGTAACTAAGAAGCAATAAACAGCTTATAAAGTTAATGGTTATTGAGTGAGTACAGTAGAAAAATGTTCGAATCCCATAGTACCCACCGAAGTTAGCACGACTAGCGCTCAAACATTAAATGAACACTATGACTTAGTGTGTATGAAAATGAACTACTCGCAGACATTAAAATCAATAAGTGATGAAATGATTTCAAAAATACTAGCTGGACAGAAAGATACAGGTGGGTGGTTTGTACTGATTCGGCTTTCTTAGCTGAGTCGAATCGGGCACATCGATGATGAGCTCGGCATTAAACAAGCGAAACAACTGTCCGGCGTTTAGATCACCTTAATCTGGCTAGCCAAGCCCTACTGGTAGATATGCGTGGTATACAGCTACTACTCATCCCGATCAATCAGTAGTAGTACATAGTTTCACGGAAAAAATCCGCCTCTATACAACCAAAAACTTGGATCATATATCTTAACTTTTTTTCATTCTTTTGTATTCCGAGTGGGACGTAGGACATTAGGCTTGGAAGTTTCAATAGCAGTTGTGCTTTTCTACTCTCTCTCTCTCTCCTCACCCTCTTTTCGGGACTTACTATGGATTAGGAGAGGTTTAAGAGTGCGCCGTCTAGGAATCGAACACGGAACACATGCGTGGCTGGTAGGCATTAAACTGTCAACACACACATATAGAGCTGAAGTGAAAGGATAAAATCAATTGTTGAGACAAGACTACTACCACTACTACTACTATCTAAACAAAAGATGAAAATGAACACTTACCATTCAGTAAATCTTGATCACTTCCCAATGTCCAATTCATATACCGGCGAGTATGCTCTGAACTTGTAGTTTCCGATGGTGGTGGTGATGTAGTTGCCAGGGTTACATTCAATTGTTGACCAGTAATTGCTCTTGGCGCAGAAGGACAATTATTTGAATTATCGAAAGACCATAGGTTAGGATTGATAGTTTGTGTATGATTTATAATATTAGGAAATGAATTAGGTGAACCTAACAGAGAATTGGTATTTCCAGCAGCACCAACAGCAGCAGCGGCAGAAGCTGTTTGACCTGAAAAAGGTGTGGTAGTTGCCCACTAGAAAAAATAAATAAATAATTGTGATATAATCGATTTTAGTTATTTACTTGTATAAATGGAATAAAACAAAGGCTTATATGAACAGGAATTTTTTTTAAAAACAGTTGATTAGGCAACCGATTATCATTTCCCGCCTTGTTTACATGGTAGGTCAAAGAAAAGTGGGCAATGTAGATGAGAAATTCCTAACATCTGCCATTCTAGCGTTTATCAAACAATCTGTTATGTATATAAAATAGAGATAAGTATCTCTAAAAGTAACTAAAGTCCTATAAGTTGGAGTTCTCATTTTTATATTTGATTAAAACGCAAACTTAGCACACAATAATCACCGAGAGATGTGCCATACTAAATCTCCAAGTAAGTATGAGGGCTGAGATACTGCCAGGAGGCCCAGGCAGAGGCAGGTGGTTGTCTGAAAGAACCAACCCTACACCTGAGTCTTTGACCTTAAGTCTTTTGATCCACAAGGGAGTGGAGAAGAGTCATCAACTACGTTCCCCTAGTTTCTGGTAACTAAAACAGATTCAGAGGACGCCATTCGATCCTTTTGGATTCTGTAGCCCATGTAAACACTATAGGTTCAGAGTTAAGATTTTCCAGCTGCCCTAGGTAGATAGACCAGCATGTCCACCAGTACTGTTGTAAACGCCAGATGTGAGCGACACCCTCACCACATGAAGGAAGCGAATAGGATATGCCCGGCAGACACTTGATCCTCATCTGGTCGATATAATAGATATTTAAAAACTCACTCTATAGATGGCAGGAGATTCTTGAGGTAGGTAATGAGGAATCCCTAGTGTAAGGTTAGTACTGAATTCGGCAACATAAAACTCGCAACCTAAATATGGATCTAAGTGGACACTCGTCTGTGTTGAGCTACCCCAATGAACGGATTCATAAGGTCTAGATACACATCAACGCAGCCACAGAATGCAATTTGAAGTAAGGGATGAATTTTATCCGAATTTATAAAGTTTTAAGCTAAAAGTAGAGCACCTTAAGCCATAATGCCAGGTGATTTCTATGCTCAAAACATCAGCCATGATCTCCAGGAGTACCATACGTGTGAATAGGCAACACTCACAGAGTCCCTTATGATTTTTCTCCTAGCCAACACACTAACTACAAACATAAAGGGAGACATCTAGGGATTGACTTTTTAAGCCTCACTTACCTAATTTATACGCAGATGAGAAGTTTCTTTTAGGCAATGAATGATCTTGAGACAGAAATAAGACTTGATGTATCCATATACTACTTGGGAGTATTTTCACACAATCTGAAGAAGAATTCTAACCCTAAGTCAACTTATTAAATAGACTGATTGCCTCAAGTAAGTACCACGGGATTTAAACCTGAAGCATACCGGTTGATGTCAGAATAAGCAATACTGAATATCATAACTAATTATTGTAACGACAAAAGACAAGGGCCAGACAACAGCTCGTTTATCGAGAAAATCAAGAGATATTTATAGATTATTATGTACATTATTATTAGCGTTATTGTTAGCAGAGAAGCAATCGCCTTTGATTGGTTGTTTTCTTGACGAAGGTTATTCTGTCATCTCTTGTGACTGTTCCTCAGAAAGTTAAGCCATATATCTGCGAATCATATTTGCACACGTTAAGTCTGCTGTGATTGGTTGGCGAGTTCCTCAATGTTGAGCTTCGTTATTGTTTTTTTTCTCATGACTCCGATTCGGGACGTAAACACTGACGTAAATTGCTGTCTACAATTTTGGTTTGCAGACGGCTCTCATCACAGTATTACTGTTCGCCCGTGTAATGAGGTCTCCATTAGTTAGAGGATGCATAACGCCACGGGGCAACTTAACAATTAATTACTGGATACAGGCTATAAGATATATGCATTATATAGGTGTTTATGATATCACTCTTTTAGTTAGATCAAAGTCAGAAGTATGACTGAAAGTTGAAAAGTTAGGAGGGATCTTAGGTCCTTCTGGCTATGACCCAGCCAAGAACCGATTGTCCAATGAAAGAAGCAGAAAGAATAGGCGGTGAATTGCACATCCACAGAAGAAAACATTGAGTGCCATCAAGCGGCAAGCTCTTGGGTGCAATCCAAAGGAGTAACGATAAGTTAGGCATTCGAGGGTGGTATGAAGAAGATCGTCTAAGAAGGAGGTAATCAAGCCCTAAGAGCGACCATGGAGTTAGCTAATAAAAAGGATCGCAGAGAACTAGTTGAAAATGTGACAGGTTGTTGGAGCCCTATTTTCCACTAGAAAGCCGAGGGAATAATAATTATAATAATGATAGTCACTCAACTGTTGCCTAATTAATAGGAAGAAAAGAAGAGAAACCACATAGTCGGCGAATGTGTGTGAATATTGATAACTTTGAGCAGTTAATGAAGAGGTACCTACAGCTAGAACGCACGAACAAACAAACACACATACATCTTTTACTGCGATATAATTGAAAAAATATATAACTTTCTATAAGAAACGACGAACTTATTTTTATAACGTTTAACTCAATTTTAGATTTCCCATTGATTGATTGAACAGAAGTGCTTGGTTTCAGCTTGACATGCCGGCTCCTTGTGCAGATGCTTCGATGATGTCTAGTCATGTCTGGTGACTCGTACAGGCTAGATGTACCTGCATTCAAGTTACATGGTCAGGCATCGTCAAAGCATCTGCACAAGGAAGCGACATGTCAACCTCAGACCGAGCACTTCAGCCGAATCAACCGACGGGAAAATCTGAATTGAATTAAATAGATATTAAGACCCATGGCTGGCTTTCGTGGCCCAAGTAGTCTAGTGGATAACGCTTTGACGTTTGAAACTATGGGCACTGGGTTCGGGCCTCAGTGGGAACACTGCTACTCACTGAGGAATGAAGGTACATCCAGCTTGGATGAGTCCCAAATAGAACGAAATGCGCATCCTGGATTCCACCTGCTAGTCACCATCCAGCAATTGATTTTATTTCATAAGGGTAAGAATTACATCCAACTGTGTAGTTTTTGTACTCTATTATTAAATTAGTTCAATTTCATATTCTAGTTGTAAAACTAAACAATATCATCAGGGTATATAAGCAGGCAATAAGTGAAACATACACATAGAAACAGTTGCACTATCATCTTAAGTGCACTGTGTATAAAAAGTGCACATATTATAAGGAGAGGTGTTTAATAATAAGATGATGTTACATCTTCAAAAATAGTCGTCAGTATTGTAAGACTGTGTAAGGAAGGCTAGAACAACAAAATTGACTGACTGGAATCTTAACGTAGAACTCTGCACAGATATGTAGCAGCACTTCAAGCTGCCCCTCCTCAAGTAGCACAGAAAGGTGGAATACGGAGAAACATCTAATTTAAAGGAACTATAATGAATGGCAGCAAGAATAATTACGTGGAGAAACAGCATAAGGACTTAACGGATCTGAGGGATTATGCAGAGTGAATGTATCTGCGCCATTGAGAACGGTTTTAAGCCATATCATTAACAGTCTCTAGGTTATCCATCTACACCTATCTACAAGTCTGGCTCAAATCGACCGTCAAGGACTTCATGTAATGAAACTAGGTTTTTGCTTTGACCACCTCTAACCCCTATGTTAGTTAACATTGTTCGGTATGGGAGGCGGTAGCTAGGCATGCGTAAGACGTGTGTCCTAGCCTTTTCAATCGATGTAGCATCACAACAGCGAATTCAGATTTGTCATTCATTTGTTGATTTGTAATTCAAATGCCTAAGGAGTTTCGCTCCGTCCTTCTCTATGGCGGTGAGACGTGGCCATTGAGAGCGGAAGACATGAAGAGATTGTCTGTTTTTGACCACAGATATTTACGATCTCTTTCTCGCGTTAGGTGGTGTAATAAGGTAAGTAATGTTGACGTTAGGCGTGGAGTGTTGGGCAAAGAGGGAAAATCACTCGAAGAGACTATGAAGTTACATAGATTGAGATGGTTAGGCCACGTGCTGAGCATGCCTAACCATCGTCTCCCCCGACGGGCATTACTAGCTGATACAGGTGCAGGTTGGAAAAGAGTAAGTGGTGGCCAAACAAAAACATGGCATCAATCCATGAAATCCCTGACAGTTAAACTGAGTCAGGTAGGGAGATGCAGACTTCCGGGTTGGGACCCTCGGGACTCTAAGAATCAATGGCTGGAGACAATAGTTGACATGGCTCAAAATCGTTGTCAATGGAGCAGATGTATTCAGTCTCTTTAACCTTCATATTCCTTTCTACCATTACTCATACTGTTTCACTCTTATACTTATCTAAATTCTATTGATTCTCTTCTCTCATTTTCCTGTCTACCTTTGTGTGCTATTTGGAACGTGGCAACTCGAACGGCCGCACTTCGGTGCCAAGTTCTATGTTGAATCCAGCAGCAGCAGCTAAGGAGTTTCGAAATTACATGTGTCAATTTGTGACACAGTACCACAGTCATCAGTAAATGTATATTTTCTCTCTCTCTCTCTCTTTCCGATCATAGATCGGCAATTTAGAATCAATCAAATCCCCAACAAACTCAAAGTTTGAGAAACCAACACCTTCGATATCAGTGCTTAGTAATGAGATGAATTCACTGGAATTCTAACAAACAGATCCATCAAATCAGATATAATGACAGATAATCGTCGAAGGTAGTGACGCTATTGTGATTAATTTTCAACCACACCATCAACTACCAAAGGTTTCCTTCCAATGGTGCCAGATACCACTGACAGTTTATGCCTTATTTTGTTCACATTCTTGGATAATCTTAGAAAATCTAAGCCTACTTTCAAGTTTGACTACGGATTGATATCAGCAGTTAGAGAACCATTGAAAACTAGGGAGTACTGGATAGCGGTTTCAACCTAGTTTGGGACTACTATTCATCACGAATTAGTAGGAGATGGGATTCATGAGCTGGCCAGTAGCTGTCCGGTCTACAAGATTGACTTGTAACCAGAAGGTGGTCCTGGGCCCGAATCCTGGCGGTGGATGCGTAATACCGATTATAGTTTCCAACGAAGATGAAACAGATGTTCACTACTCTCCTTGTTGGTTTCCAATGACTCTCTAACTGATATCAATCCGCGATCAAAATCTTAAAAAAACAAAAATCAAATCCCTACAGACCAACTCTTAAAAATAAATCAACTTTAATCTTAAAACCACTGTGAACAAATTGAAATTGTCAGGCCGAAGCAGAATATCATTACAATGCAAATGGACAACACCTTCGAACCCGAATTTATGCAAGTCAATTAGATTAGTTATTTATTTGGCTTCACACTCAGAGGTGGGTAAAATTTGTATACTACATCTTTTTGTTATAATAACAGTCGATCGTTCTCACCGACTGCGACCAGTGTGTTCTCTTATATCTGTATTAGCTCCCACACTGGAGGACAGGAGTAACTGGAAATAGGCATTTGTATTTGCTTTTCAAACGACATGCTTATTGTCTATTCGCATCGAACCTTAATAATCGTAGTGCCAATCGTATCAACCTATAAAAAATTTGTAGAAGTATCCTTCTAGCCCATAACCCTATGATTAACACACAGAGAGAGGGAGAGTTTCGACATAGAACTTTGCATAGAAGTGCAGCAGTTCATCGAGTTGCCCCACACTCCCTCCATGTAGCACACAAAACAAGAGAAGAGGGTAAACAAACGGAGAGGTTCAGAAGAAAGAGATAATAAACAGAAATGTGAATAAGGGAAAAAGAATGAAAAAAAGAACAAGGGAAGAACAAAAAAGTTTTATTGAATATAAGAAATAAATCACAAAGACTGAATGCATCTGATCCAACCATTCAGAACGATTTTCAGCCATATTACCAATTAGCTCCAGCCGTCATTGGTTCCTAGCATCCTGAGGACCCCAACCAGCCATTCAGGTTTTCTACACCTCCCTATGTGCCTGGATGGCTGGCTTAAATTAACTGTTATAGATTTACTTGACTGATGAAGCCATGTTTTGATTTGACCACCACTAGCTTTCTCTTTTCCAACTTGATCCATCCCATGTCAGTCAGTCAGCTAACATTGCCTACTGTCAAGGAAGGTGACGGCTAGTCATGCGTAATACATGTCCCAGCTATCTCAATCGATGTAGCTTCATAACCTTATAGACTGACTGACTTTCCCTCCTTACCTAAGACTCGACCGATGCCTAACGTCAATATTTCTCATTCTATTATGCCACTCAACACGGGAAATAGAATGGAGGCACTTACGGTGAAAAACAGGTAGTCTTTTCATGTCTTCTACTTTCAATGGCCATCTCACAGGCATAAAGGTAGACGGAGTAAACTGCTAAGCAGTAGTACATGTCCTTCAGTCAGCAGCTACTAAGAAGGATTTTGAACCCTATCACTAATAGCCTTGGAGTCACTGGTTCTTAGATAACACGCATATGGCAATATCACCCCCAACTTTTACAACTGTTATCACCATCATAAATGATATTTCAATGAGAAATAACAAAGTCTTACCTGGTTATCGGTTGATGATGAGGATTCCTGAGATAAAAAGCCGCCAACATTACGATCTGTAAGTCTGGGTGAATCAAAGACTGGAGGCGGCCACATCTGACCTGTATTACCAGTAGCAGTAGTATTAGCAACAGCGGCAGCAGTATTAGTATTAGTAGAAGAATTATCCGAATTCTTCGAATTAGCATAGGATACTAAAGAACGAATCGATTGAGTCTTTTTATCAACAGAATCTTCGATTTGATCACGTTCTTGTATCAAATCGATATCACCTCTATTTGTTGTAGACCATGGAACAGCTGAAGGTGCAGAGGAAAACGCAGAATGGGTGCCAGCAGTATTACCGGAACCAACACCAGGTTTACCTAGAAGGAAAATAACCCAATATCTACAATCAGATACATAAATATAGCATAACACTGAAAAAAACTTGTTCCTCAAATGTTTTCATCATGGATTGAAACCGACTACATAACCACCTATGAAAAACAAAAAGTATAATTTCAATGTAGGCTGCATCCTGAATCATTATTGAAATCCAGGGAGCACCGTTTCGTCTTATTTTTGGCCTCCTCACCAATGCATACCCACGCCCCCCCCCATTGTAATCTAAATATCAGTCTCCAGCTTATTGCCGGTTACTGGATGGATGCCCTGAAGCTGTGTACTGAGAAATCCTGATCAGTGAGGCTCACCGTGTCAAGGTGAAGTGGAGGCTCATCGAAGGCACTAGATGTCGACGGCGGTACATTACGAATTGACAAAAGTTAGAATTCACAGGTTACTGAATTCCTGCCCAAGTGGCTAAATGGACAACGAGCTTGGCGTTGTAGTCTGAAAGTCCCGGATCTGATCCCTGGTGGGGTTTCGCGTGTGCACTGATGAAGAACCCCGAATGATGGACTAAACAGTTGTCTAGTGTTCCCTGATCTTCAATAACCTCTAACTGATGCGTTTGGGTTCACATGAGGAAATCTACATTGAAGTTTCAGATTAGTCCTAGTGTAAAATCACCTACCAACTACAAAGACCAATAGAACAATATTTTAAAGCACATAAACCATCGAGACTATTACTTACCGGGTGTTCTATTCCATGGTGTATTACCGTTATTAGTATTAATGATACCGGTGGTAGTATTTGTGACTTGAGACATCAGGCAAATATTGACTGGGCCTGGCAAGAAGGCATCTACAAAATAATTGTATGAATGAAATTCAGTTACTAATTCAATGACAAAATATAAGGTAAGGGGAAACTTTTGTTCCTAAATCAACGCATGACATCATAGTTTTATAAGTCATGTTTGTAACTATATCTAAACATTGAAATAAGAATCTTTATAACGAGTGATAAATCTTCCATTTTACAGTCTGTGATACCACAAAACAGATGTTAATTATTATTATTATTCCCTTGGGTTTCGGATAGAGCATAGGGCTACAGAAGTACTTCTCCAAATAGTTTTTTTTCTAACTGGATCCACGATTACCTATAAGCCTTTACTTTCTTCTCAAACGATCTCCAATTCTGTTTGTTTCAGAGCATCTCTTCGGGAACAGATTCTTTGTTGGCTCATTCACAGAGTTACTTGGTGCTTATCATTTCTGACCGGTCATCTAACCTTCAGTATAAAGCTGGTGAACGCAGCTGTTAATGTGAACCCGTAGTAGCCTGTTAGAAATGCTTTTATAGGGATGCATATGCCAAGTTTCTGAACCGTATAGAGGCACTGACTTGTTGTTATTGTTCGATATCCGGATATTTATTCTTAAGCTAAGTGGATTTTCACACTGATTTCAGCATAATGAAGTTCTGTCTTGCCTTTACGATCCGGTCTGGCTCTGATATCCCTATCCATGCAGCCTGCCTAGATAAATGAAAGAGGTAACTTCCTCTGGATTTCTCCCGCAGATAGTGACTGATGCTTGTAGTAGTAGTTGTTGTTGTTTAGGTATCTTCATCGCGTCTGCCTCCTCCATGTTCAACTGGCATTGTCTTTGCTGCTTCCTTTACCCAATTGTTTGTTTTCACCTGTTGATCTTAGGATTTGTGTGATATCAGAAACAAATTATCTGAAAAATCCATATCTCCTAGAATCATTTTGTCGGTTCGACGTAAGGCCCCACGATCTGTTTCATGATCCAATCCACCACAATCAAGAATATCACTGGTGATATTAGGGAGCTTTGTCTTATGGCATATCGATGGAATAGGGAATATGAGTGTTAAAGCCCCAGGGTAATCTAAATAACACGTTGCTTTAAAGTTTAAATCAAAAAACGAAACGTTTTCATCACCACTTCTTTAATGATCTCTGACATTATTTACATTTCTCAATTTTCACATAATATATGCATTAGATCATAGGAAACATTAAAAAAGACGGTTCCATCGAAGAAAATTTTCTTTTTCACAAAGTCATCCACTATAATGTACATTCTTCAATCTATAGTAAGTGGGCGAGAAAGTTTTTTATGTTTGATTATAGCTTGAAACCACACAGTATTTTTGGTACAAGTATGGAATTTTCAGCATGTGATATCTGTAGCCCAAATTTTGCAGGCCGACCACTGATATCGGGTGTGCACCGGCCGGGGGTCGAACCCCGGACCATGTGCATGGTCAGCGAGAGTCCTAACCGCTCTGCCACGGACACACACAATCCTTGACCGGAAATAGTTCAAAAGCTTTCTCACCCATTTACTATAAATTCACGAATGTACAGTCTAGTTAATGACTTCTCAGAAAAGAAAATTTTCTTCGTTAAAACTGTCTTTAATATTTCTTCATTTCGATGATCTGCAACAGTTTAGATTTACGGAGATGTAAGATATGTTAACTTGAGTCAGTAAGCAAACACTGACGGGTACTTAGCTGATCTCAGTAAGCAGCTCTTGTTATTGCGTTGTGAATAACTGATACTGAAGACATGAGAAAATCTACATACATAACCAGGATAAACTGAAACACAGCCTTTTCAGAAGGAAAAAAAATGCCTCTTAGACATTTCCAGAAATATTTTGGATAACTTTGATTTGTATTGTAGTCTTTTAGAAAAGAAATCTTAAACTTTATTTCAGCAAACTTGACAAAAAAACGGAGGATACTTAGTCTTCTCTAAAGAATGAAAAATACCCTTATGACGTAAACCAAAAAGACATAGGTACTTGTTCATTCTTCTGAACCAAACTATGGTCTTGCTGTTTTGACATATGACTACCAGTCAGTTTCATTCAATAAACCAAGGCAGGAAATCATAAAATAAATGATATCCATCAACTAAGACCTAACCGTTGCCACTCACACAATACCTTAGTGAATAACCTCCCAATATTTGAAATGTGTACATGAATCAAACACCCCACTCAGTAGGATAGCATCAATCAGCTGGTAAGTCATAACTAAATAAATATGCGAGTGCAAACAACAACTGCTAAGCAAATAATAACAAGGTGCAAAAAAATATTTCCACAATAGTAGCATAGTTCACTTGAAAACAAAGTTAAATGCAGCATATCATGTGACTTTAAGCCTATAAACAAAATAAACCACGCCTATTGTTTACCAGGTAACACCACCCTGACAAACATTATGCAAAAACAATAAATAAATAAGTAAGCCTAATAATAAATGTATGTGAATAGCGAATTCTTTTGTATCAATAACAAAAAATAATAATGAAAACAAAAAACAGGGATGTATTAGTTCAGAAATCAATAGTTCTTTTTTCTGTCTCTCTCTCTCTCAAGAGGCGCACATGCACAATAATAACTTGTTGCTGACTTTAATCATAATAAAAACATTAAAGCCACCATAATAAAAGTACAATTATTTAAATTGTGGTCAGTTAGTTTAACAGTTGAAACATGATGGTGACCGGAGAATAAATGAGGTTAAAATGTCAAATTATTAGTATCTCTGTACTATACGAACTATTTTTTTATTCCTTTACGTCCCCAGTGGAACATAAGGCTTTATTTATTTTTACGGGAAACGGTTGCTGGCCTCGTGTCCACCCTTCCCTCTTTACCAAGTTCATTACTGGCTTAGATAAAGGAGTGCGTCGGCCGGGTATCGAACCCCGGATCAGATGAGGCGTGGTTAGCGAGCATTCTACCGCTGTGCCACCGAAGCACACTATACGAACCGTAATCCTACAAAAGTAATGCTAGTTACTTGATGAAAGGACGAATTGTTATCGTTGATCTCCCAAAGTTTGATGACGGATTGATATCGCTTAGGGATCCACTGATAACCGCAGAGTACTAGACAGTCGTTTCATCCTTGCTTGGGACTCTTCAAGTAGTGCACACCCATGACAACACCAGAGATCAAACTCAGAAATGATACAAGTTAGAATTCATGGGCCCAGTGGCTGAATGGTCAATGAACTCACCATGCTAACTGAGGGTCTTGGGTTCGGTTCCCGGCGATGGGGTGCGGATTGATGAAGAGCTTTGAACTACGATGAAACAATTGTTCAGTATGCCCTGTGGATTGTTAATGGTTCCGTAACTGATGTAAATCTGTGAAGGCAATAAATCTCTACAAACTAAAACTTGGAAAAATAATGCCTTCAACAAATATCTGTTGCAAGCTTCAGAGTGAAGTTAAAAATGACTCCATTAAAGCAACATTACAATTCAGGAAGTTATTGACAGTTTGTCTTTTTTTATAGAAGTGGGGACTAACAACAACCTAACGAGTTTTAGGAAATCAGCAACTGTTTAAATACCTCTACAATAATAATAACTACAATGTAATCCTCTTAACTACTACAAAAATTTTGCGTATTAGCTGAGCTTTTAGTGCAGATTTCTGTACCAAAGTACAACAGTTTACGCGACTATGCTTTATAAAGAATACTCAAATGAAAAGGAACTATAATGAAATGGAAAATTACGGGAGACAGAATAATTACATGGGGAATAGAATTTATTAGATCCAGTGGTACGTGAAGAATGAATGCATCAACCCCATTGAACACGACTCCCAACCATGTCGATAAAAGTCTCAAGTCATTGATTATTAGCATCCCGAGGATCCTAGCAGGGCATTCTACGCTTTATTGTATGACTTAAACCAAAACCGTCAGACTTCGTGGACTGATGCCATGTTTTGACTTGACCGCCCTGAACTCTTTCAACCCAACGTAAATATCTGTGACCGAAGACAAGAAGCCTCATCAAGTCTTCCACCTTAAACCCGTCTCACAGGCATATAGGACTGCGAATCAATAAGCACTACACATCTTTGATCGATTACCCGATAACACGTCTACGCCAGAAATGACGTAGGTTATCAAAAGCTACACAAACCTTTTGTTTCCGAGCTGGTTTCGTCAGAAATCAGTCAGTTAAGGCTGATGCGAATTTCCGAATAACTGAAATGGTCAACACAACCAGCCACTTCATTCCCTATCTCTAAGCAATGAATTGGTGCGGTCCAGTCCTGCAGCATCATCTTACATTTGATAGGGACGAACATCATAACAAACATTCGCAGATTCCTGCTCAAGAAGACCTTGAATTTTGTCAGCATCGTCACCCAGAAGGACTATGTCAACTGCATAAACTAAATCAACGAGACTATTCCTTCGTAACAAGTCATTCCGTTAGTCGATAAGGTCGATTACTGTCATATCTATTATCACATATTTGATGAAATTGAAGTGAAAAGGCTACAGCACCTATCGGCCGACAGAGTCAAATGCCGCCATCAGGTTGAGTGTTAGATGTTGATAAACAAAAGATCAATACACCCTCGCCCAGGCCTAAAGCTTGTCTGGCTTTCACATATTTCGTTTTTGCGTGCCAAGTTACGAGACGGGATAAATGAGAGCTTATAATATTGACTACTCACTGAGGGTTAATCAAGTGAAGCTAGTTTCCAATATGAGATTAAATTGTTAAATGAATGAAATACTCCCACAATGAGTCATAAGAAAAAGACGTAAACAACGAAGAAAATTTTCTTTAATTAAATTCATCCGTTATGTGTACGGTCAGGTATAGTTACAAAGTCACAAACCAAGCAATAACCCTCAGTAGTACATTAAGAATGCTAAATGATGAAGTCAAACAGATAGAAGCGTTCGTATTCAATAAAAAATTCCATAAAATTCATTGAGAAAATCACAGAAGCTCACAAGAA